TTGCTTCGGTAGAATCGTTTGATAGAGCCACTGGGAGAAACCATCCATACTTACCACAAGACACACGAGCTAAAACAGAGATAATGATCATGGTGCTCCCTCTTAGCAGAAGATTACTGAAAAGATCACGAGGAACAAATGAATTGTGTACTTGCCAAATATCCCATTAGATCCCAGTAGGACTCAATGGGAGATCATTCTCCACATTTCCTACACTGATGATGCCTCTGAATCATCCAGAATGCGCGACTTCGTCTACAGCCTTGTTCTAGTCCCTGGAGACATGCAACTTTGGCTGTATCCCATCCTCAGGGAGAACCCTACCGCGACAATGGAACAATATTTTCTGTCCATCCTGGCAGTTATGAACGAGAATTACCTACCAACCTTTTTAAAGAGCTGCAAGGTTCTGGCGCAAAGAAGCGTATTGGTTTAGGGAGATAAATATTTTCCTCTCGAACCACCACATGTTGGGCATGTGGCTCCTAACGTGGCCACGTCCATGTCAGCTCATAGGGCTGCAGAGAAGAACTTCATTTAATACGGAGGAGAGAGAGAGAAGATGAGTTATGCGAAACGGGTCAGACGTGGACCGCTTCTCACGCCCCTCAGCGGTCCAGTTATGGGCAGGCTAAGCCAGAAGGAAGAAACGGTTCAGCCGAACTGTTTCAGCTTTAAGGAGAAAACGGTTGGCACGTTTCCCGATGCAGCACGAGGAGGTTTATAAAGAGAGGCCACCTCTTATCATCTTATAGCACCAGTGACCAGAGAGTATCAGAGAGTACCAGAGAGTACCAGAGAGTACCAGAGAGATTGGGAGAGGTTTTCAACGAAGAGATTTCTACTTGTTGGTGAGTTCTTTGAGGGCTAAAATTAGTGATATGTTTCTGGGTTCTGGGGAGTGCTCTTCTGTACTTCTACTGAAATTAGTGAAAGAGAGAAACATTCAAGCGTCGTGTTTAGTTATGGAAGAAAATCTGCGGGGTGGACACCAACTTTGCTGCCATCAGATGACCAGCCTGCTTGGGCACTAAAATCTTTCACTGTCACTATTGTAGCTGGCTTCTGAATAAATTTCTCTTCGTTGTAGACCACAGGAGGAACGGGTGACGAGGATGAGAGCGAGAACTAGGAGAAGTTTTGTAAGTTCATCTGTTAACACTAGGTCCTCAAGGCGGGAGTGGGGAGAGAGAAAGAGAGATATAGAGACTGAGAGAGAAAGAGAGAAGGAGAGAGAGATGGAGTTTTGAAGGTCCATTTGTGAAAATGTTATGACTACTTCCCTGTATATTGACTAAGAAGGCAGTCCTCTTCAATTCGTGGACAAAGAAGAGCGCCTTCCCACACACTTTGATGCCTGAGAACGAAGAATGTGACAGTGAGTAACACGGATGATTCACCTGATCGGTAATTGCGCCTCGCCCCTCCTCTCCTCTCAACATTGTCTCCAGAAGGAGCCTGAAGGATAGGGGAAATTACAAGAGATTTTAATAATTCGTTTTCGTAATTGACCGGTAAAAGTTCTGTGACTGACGAACGATTCAACCACTAAACTTACGTCAATCTGCTCAATGTCATTGACCCATGAATTTCAACCGTACATTGTCCTGGTCGGCATTAAACCCTGGTGCATTCTCCTGAAAAAATTTCACTTATGTATCTTGTGTTACTCATGAAATAGGAAGGGAATGAGAGAGAACGAGAAATGCGGGCTTCGCCTTGATTAGAAAATTTTTCTAGCTCACCATTGGCAAGACATCTCTATCCGTAGGTTTGTGTCCAACGTAAACGACTTCAGACTTAAAAACCTAGACAGCCCTTCTTCTTTCTGGGGTTCAAGATAAACAAGTGTGACAGTAGTTGAGTCCAGGTCATGGCGAGTGAGTAAGCGTGAATACTTCGGTTATCTAAGGAGTTCTATTTCTTGCCGAAGTCGACCTTCAAGGCAGCCTGGCTTGATGGCCAGCTCGTGAAATGATCTGGAGGAGAGGATGATACCTTGATTTCTTTTTGTTCCCTGATCTCTTTTTGGTCTCTTGAGTGGAGTTCTCTCTCTTCACCTCCAATAAATTTCTGCGTTCTTGTAGACCTCTTCCTGTTCTGGCGTATTTCACAATTATGTCTATGTTGGACCCAGAGAAGGTTTAGACATTAGGCTGCCTGAGAGTAAGGATATCATTTATTAATCCTACGTCTAGGGCTGGAGGATGAACAAGTTTCGAGCCTGGAAGAAGCTTTTCAGGCAGAAATCTCAAAATCAGGTTCTGAGGAACTCATAGCCTGTGGGGTTGCGCGGGATTGGGGGACTCCACCGAAAAGCCTTTGAAACTTGGAATCCATCAGCATTAACCTGAAAGGTACCAGCGATAAGCTTCAAACCTACCTGCTGTAACTGTTATCCGTCCAATGGAAGTCGAGACAAGGATATATGATCCTTGTTAGGATCTTGGGGAATTCTCGTCTGCCCAGATGTATACCATCGTGCCATCTCGTTGTTACATCCCCGTTACGATTGCTGCCTCCGCTTCCTTCAAGTTTCCATTTGCAGATACTTTTGAATTCCGGGGTAACTAGGTAAAATCAAGAAAATGAAGCTCATTCCTTGAAGACCAATTCCCAGTCCTGACCACTTCTGACGACCACTGCTTCTAATTGCCCATTTATTGGATGAGCATGAGCGCTTTGCTTAGGAAAAGGTGGTACCGTATCCAACATTTATTGTAATATTGCTCATATATGTTATAAGAGTGAATTCGCTTGAACTAGATTTCAAGAGAACTATTTAATCCTTTTATTTTACAACAACGTTCTTCGCTTGATTTTTAGGACGATATCAATGGGGATAGGATCTGTGGTATATGATCCGGCCGCCTAAGCCAATCCTAAATCCTCTCACGCATGCCGAGGATCAGTTTTTCTGGGGAATGGCCTCACTGGGGATCATCACTTTTTACCCGTACTTAAAGGAGTCTACACTCCCTTTGTGGTGAAAGTCACGGGGTTGTCAATTTGAGCATACCCTTCTCACTCCAACTGTACCGACCTCGTGCAAAGGCCTAAAATATCTGTACTACAGAAAAAAGGTGTTAATCTTTAAATAGGAATTGAGTGGTCATATTCCCTGGTGAAAACGCTGAACGAGAAAAAATATCAGCCCTTCACAGTTCCCAAAGTTGATCTTATTGGTTAATAGCCAACACCTATATTTTCCTCGAACGAGAATCCTATCGAGTGGTTGTTGAGGTCGAAGGTGCAAATGGGCCACAGTGATAAACCTGTCGACCAGATAATGGTCACAGTGACGGAGGAAAACAGAACTTCAAGTAAGAGAGCCTTTTACAGTCTATCTGGTATGACTAAGCCCAAAAGAGGACGGAGCGTTTTTTTTTTTTTGTGTGTGTGCGTGTGTGTGTGTGTGTGTGTGTGAGAGAGAGAGAGAGAGAGAGAGAGAGAGAGGGTGGGGGAGGAGGAGGAACTATCAACTTTCGTTATTACCTGATAATTGTCAACGTCACTAAGACCTGGACCTCGAACTACTTTTGAGCTTACTAAAGTCAAAATGTCGACATTCATTCGTTGGCTTTCTTCATCAACTTGGTTGTCACATCTACTTTTTCTGATTCGCGTCAACAATGAAAGATTGTATGTTTTTACACACAAATGCGTCAATTTTCTTCTAACCACTTTCTTTGAGAACAGTGGACGATTCTGATGAGTCTAGGTCATGAAGGACTACTGAGAAAGGTGGCCGAATTTTCCCATTACTGTTCAGTACTGGGCGAGAATGGTGGGGAAGGCGGCGAGGGAGTCGAAAAGATGGCCTCTCCTGGCCTGTCGTAGTTCTATCTTTGTGTGGTGAAAATCGCCTCATTGTGGCGTGTTCTCCAAGGAACAACAATATGCGAACCCGTGCTGAACAGACAACGCTTCAGTGGCCGTAGCCTTTAGGCCTTGAACACTTTTGATGAAAACATTTTCGAATCGAACTTCTCCGCACAAGTACCAAAGTGCCTCGCTTTTAGGCTTTTAAAAAGTTGATTTTACCGTTGAGATTTTCATACAATTTCGACTGAGTTGAAATTTATTGGAGTATGGTTGATGGATCTTGTCTTCTGTTTAAGTTACGCCACGTACTGGACCAAGGCTAGTTTCTGCTCAAAGCTTTATTTTCTGATCTCCAAAAAAGTATTGGGCAGGAAACAGAAGCTTCCAATTATACGATCCATCTCATTCAATATTTCCACATTAAGCTTTTAATTATATTTATTCCTATTAGAAACGAATCGCCAAGGTTATGAAGTATTTTCCTCGCCAAGGTTTTAATTATGCTAATTAGTATCTTTTTATGATCTGAAATATCGCGAAGATACTGTACAGAGCCGTGAACTCCTTTCCGCAGATGAGTCAAGAATTCCGCCAGAAGTTCAGCCCAGGCCTAAATCTGAGGCCAATAATTATATTGATTGATTGCACAAGCTCCAGCAAAAAAATAAAATGTACCATTGAGCCTCTGGCCATTATTAACGCCCGCGCTCCGCTCCTTCGATTGATTGTTTGCATCGGATCTCAGGTTCTTTATGGATCACATTGGACGGCAGTGATGTTATTGGGGACTTTGTATCAACCCCGTTGTCCTGGAAGTCCCTGCAATTGAAGATACTTCGCACCTGCACTCGTCTTATGATAAACCTCAACTTGTGGAAATCTTATCTGATATCTGCGCAAGTTGCCGAGTTGATTGCCATAGTTTTTAATAATACGTTTCGTGAACAAACTCCAAACTCTCTTCTTTAATCGCCCCTTTCAGCCTCTCACCTGGCGGCGGTGCCTGCGAAAGCCCTCCTCTGATCTCCGCCAACCTTCTCACTAGCCTAGGGTTTTATACGGGATCTTAGCCGAGGCAGGCATCCCTTCTTAAGGTACCTCTTCCTTTACTCGTTAGTTTCATACAGTGAGCGACCTTGAGAGGAGCTAGCATTCTATCCTTTTCTGTTCTTACAATGACTTCGTCAATTAGAGGGAGGGAAAGACGAAGGAAGGCCCACTACAAATGTTGTCTTCCAGGCCAGAAAAAGGTGAAGGCTTTCAGGGAAACCTTGAAAACCTGGAAGACTGACACCGGCGACGGCGACGGCGACGATGGTGGCGCTACCCAGCTCCCTTCCGGTTGCCGTACACCAGACGCTGGGAGGTTCTACATACGGGAGAGCGTGGAATGCCCGCCGGCACCTAAGAAGAAGACCTTGACCGTACGTTGCCTTCCAATGATGAAATCAACCTTCTTCAGCCCTCCGGATCTAGAGCTTTTCTTCTCTATTGCTCTGCGGAATCTCTCTGGTCGAAGTTTTACAGATGCGTTTATTGAAGCCCATATTTTCCCTCTTCCTCTCCACGGAGGAAAACACTTCTAGATCACAATATTAGCGTTTATGTACTAGTTCAGTAAAATGTTTAACCATGCATATTATCCATCTTTCCTTATCTGCTTGATTAATTGCCTTGTAAGTTTTTTTATTCATTTAGTTCGAGAATGCAGATTAAATGGGCTATTTGCATCAAAATCAATCAGTCGCACCTGAAGTAGTCTTCTGGGGGTCATTTTATAAGTGTGCTACCGTCTTAAATTACCGAAGAATTGTTTAATTTTTATTCAACGATCCTAAAACAACAGGTGGGAAATATCATAGAATTTCCGTATAAAATCGTTTTTTGTCCCTAAAGTCGAAGAACATAACATTCATTCCTTTTAATCCAAATCTCCTTAACATCAAGAATGTTTTAAATAACACAAATGTCGTTCACGAAAATTTAACTTACTCTACTAATAACCTGCCGTTGATGTTGGTCAGGCACTCTTTTCATTGGATGTATGAAAAGGGCTGCTGCCTGAGGAACATACCTTGGATTCCGGGGAATTTACCTGGACGGGAATCATTTGGATAAGTTTTTCGAACAGCCATTGCGGTTCTTTGTCACGTTTACATCGCATTGTTTTGTTGGGGATTCTATCTTCTTTGCAGCGCTCATAAAATCAGAGTAGAATATCTCCATCTCGTCAGTAGAGGATATTAAATCTTTAAAAGTCTTCGTCCGTCACTGAACAGGCAGCCGGAGTAGGAGTGCCAGCATCTGTTTACGTTCGTTCCATCTAGTTTACAGTTACTGTGTTAGCGACAGGAGAGCGAGAGAGAGAGAGAGTGGGGCTCGTAGTGTCTGGTCTAGGTATCTGTGTTCAGGTTTTGCCTCCCAACATCGAGAAGAGGATCCGATGAGAGGGACACGTGCAGATACCACGCAAATCAAGTTGGGTTCGATTTTCAAGAACAGGACTTGAGGCTAGGTAGATGTACCTCATGCTACTGTACAAAAGATAGCACCCTCTTTGTTGCTATGCATTACTCCCATCCCCCCTCAAGGTTTAATTTTGTTTGAGACACGTGTTCCTCTTCTAATACTCAACAAGGCAAAGCCTTTCATCCTCTTAAATCCTTTTTTGTCTTTCTCAGCGGACCGAACGGTATATAAATTGCATAGTTTACAGGCTGACCTGAAGATTAGCGTGTTTTACAGTGCATTACCAATCTTACATTGAATAATATTTCAAATTGTCCTTTTGTCCAAAAGTATGGAATTGAAGAAATCCTGCCCACTAAACTTATTTTTACTGTAAAATCATTTCACAGTAATTACATACTACAATGAATGCTAACGCATACACAGACTTTTTCTCGTAATGTTAAGACTGTAAAAGTCTATTAATTCGTCGGTATAAGATATATATTAATACAACTATCAAAAATATATTTTTATTTTTGAAAATTTTCTGGACATAGAAATGAAATATACTTGTTTCCGTATTCATGCTAATATGAAGCTGTTTTGCAAATTTACGTCATTTACAATAACTAGATTTTATCTCATGTTTTGAGAAATGTTTTATTGAGGTCACTTCTGATACATGTTTTGGTCATTAAAAAGATGATAATTTGGAATATATTTCTCATAACAAATATTAAAATAGTTACTTAGAAAAAGACTAAAAAATAATAAATAACATTCCAAATTACAGAAGATTGAGTGCATCATGTTCAATGTTATTATATGTACATCTCCACAAGCTGCCAAATTTGTATCAATTTATAAACGTGAGAGTAATTTTTTAAGAGTTAGTAGCTACTTTAAAACTATAGAAGAACACATACAAAGTGCAATGTAATTCTTTTATTTATTAATATTTCATTTTTATGATTCCTAGTATTTTGATAAAAAGTACATGCACTTCACTAAACCTATTACAAGCTATGATCCCTTTGTAGTGTAGCTACTCAATTTACGTAAGTAGTTATAATTCTGTGTAAGGATTCATTTTCCAGCAATTCCAATGGTTTAGCTGTAGAATCCATGTGTTCAAAACTGAGAAAATATATTACTCCTTGAAATGATTAACATTAGGTTAATTGATTCTAAGTTTGATTATTAGAGATATTAAAGATTTACTAGCATCAATTTTTTTTTAAACTGTTATATTTCTGCTCCTAGACTTTCTTGAATACTTTTGAAGCGTAGTATCATTGAGGATCATACTTGAGAATATTTCTTACAATATATACACAAGAAAAACTACGAAATTAGGGTGTAATTTTTTCCTGATGACTGATGCTTGTTCCTTAAATATTCCATCAAGTGACATTGATCACGATGATACCAAATTTGATCAAAACACTATTGTAATATCATTATGTTCATAAGTGTCATTCATTGGATTGATATCACAAGTAACAGCTGAACTCTATTTATCAATATTTAAGCTTATGATCCTCACGCCCAGAATGGCAATCACATTGGATTAGTCATCTAAATTATAGACATATTTTTCCTCTTATCTACCATGAAACAAAAATATATTATGTTTTGAGATGGATAAAAGCTGATATTTCGGTTTGCCATAGAAATATATAGACATGCAAAGTTTTTTCACTATGTTATAAACAGATTTCCCCTTTGTGTTCCCATGTTTCACATATAAATACATTTTCATTATCTTATTTTAACCAATTAAAATAAATATTATTATTTTTTTAATCTTTCAATATCTGAAAAATTGAACAACATTGAAAGTCAATAAATGAATGTTAATCATTTATTGGGTTACATTTTGGTAGAATTTTGATGAAAATTGAATCTAGAAAGGTTGATCGCCATATTATTGGAGTTTGCCACAGGTTTAACTCTTTTTGCATCTCCCTGTTAGATTTAGTTGATTATTATTATATTGTATAATCTTCCATTTATAGTGTTCAATATAGACTTATTTTTACTTTTAAACCCTAGAAAGTAAATATTTTGAACTTCCTACTAAATTTACTTTAAACTTCACCTATCTTACAGACATAAAAGGCACTATATCTCACATTCCCATAACCTTAAAGTAATGTAGATCATAAATAAGGGGAAATGAAATAATACAATAGTAATTGGGGCACCAAATTCTTCTTTCAAAAACTCTACATATAGGGTAGCAAGAAGATGTGTTATGACGGGATCATCATTTTTGGCCTTGCTAGAAGATTTTGAGATGGACTGATTGATTTAGGTATTGTCGCTGTAATAATGACTTGGAAGGTGTTAGATTTTAGAGCCTCTCTAGTTTTGATGTTGAGATGGTATATAGAAGACTCAAATAGTAATTTCCAATTTTCAAACTTTTTTGAAGTTGAAAAATATTTTTTTATCACTTTGGAAAACCTTAGGGTGATTTCAGAACGGACTGTATGACCCATTGTTTCTTTTTCTGTAAGGGAGTCAACGTACTTAGATGGGTTTTATACCCATGCAAGAAAGATACCATGTAAGGGTAACATGATAATTCTGTACTTCGAAATTTACGTTATAAACTCATTTCAAAATCCCCCACCTACTTTACCTTGTGAGAAGTGAGTTGACTCTCTTTGTATGAAAAATTCCCTAGTATGTATGAAGGTGTGACGCTACAAGGCTCACGTTTCATGAGTCAACTCATCCTATATGAGGTCTTAACCCTTAAATTGTCAAGAAAATGAATAGGCACATCCAAAAGAAGAATGTGAAGCGATGGCATGGAACTCTTGATCAGGAAAACGGGGAGGGGGGGGGAGGGGCTAATCTCGGGTGGGTGGGAGAGGGGTGGGAAACCGACGGAAAACTGGGCGGAGGTTCCGTCGGATCTACCTAAGCCTGGCCAGCCCAGACTGGCCTACGCTAATTTTAAATTTGATTTCGAGGTCACACTCTAAAGAAAGTAGCATGTTCGGTCACGAAGCCACAGTTCATATGACCAACATCAGCGACTAAGAAAAGTTAGTTTCTTGGGGCCAGGTTACCTAAAACCTAGCCTTGGCCCAACATAGATATCCTTGTGGAACACTTCATGATAAAGAAGTTCAACACGCCTGAGATATTTCCGATTGTAGAAGCGAGAGTCTCATATGGCGGCTAATCGCACGCAGCCTGTCGAGAACAGTTATCTCGCCAGACCTAACGCCGCCGATTTTAGTGAAAGTTTCGGGCCTCCCCAGTCACCTATGTACTGGACTCACCATTCTGCACACTTCAGTTTGAGGAAATTTAGGAAGAAGAATTCTCTGTATATTTATGAGTTGAATCATTCATGTTTGCTGCTAACATTGCATATAAATGTCTTCACATAAGGGAAAAAGAAAGCTTTAATAAATAAAATAATGCACTTGTTGAGCTATTCAATGCAAAGAGAAGATTAAAGCTTTAATAATAAACTCATCACCGTCGTCTCCATCCTATTCAATGTACTTGTTGGGAACTGGGCTTCATGATGATGAGGTCAGATCGTGCGTCAATCAGAACGACATCTGCTGAACGCCAGATTCATGACGTGTGTCGCCATTTCCTGCCTGTTCAAGCTCCATTTGCACGAGGAGCTATCACCGGTCAGGTAAGCATTCCGTATGAGTCACTATCTTCCCCTCCACAATTTTCAGACCTCGCGGGGTGTCACATGAGCGTCTTTGTGCCCAAGAATACCATTTGTGGTTGACGTCTCTCGGACAGACAGGCTTGGTTGTTTGCTCTATTTATATGCCCACAAAATTAGCTTGGTTGCTGGACCAAACCTTCAATTTCCGTATCTCCCTCTATTTACTCTCTCTCTCTCTCTCTCTCTCTCTCTCACACACACACACACACACACACACACACACACACACGCACGCACGCGCGCACACAAATACTTCGAGTCTAGCGTTCACATATGGGCATGCAAAGGCTACTCTTAATTGTTGCTCTGGCTGTCGTTAATCGTCCCTTACACATTTACGGAAATTTACTTGTTGAATCGTCCTCCAGTTCTGTACCTAAGGGTTATCAAGTTAGGAGCTTCCGTAAGGTAGTGAACGTTAAGGATTATGGAGCCCGAGGTGACGGAGACTCGTACGACAACATGGTGCTAATCTAGGCAACAAGATTTGAATTTCAAGCCTCTTCTCTTACGTGTTCATTTCCTGTTTTTGCTAATCTTTTCTTACAATTGTGTCTTCAGGCGTTTACGAAGGCATGGAAGGCAGCTTGCTCTTCCTCTACACCGGTTACACTGCTCGTCCCCGCGGGAAGTACCTACCTCCTCAAACCCACGACCTTCTTTGGTCCTTGCAAGTCTGCAGTAGTTGTCACGGTGAGATCAATGTCCGTGGCCAGTCTGAGATCTGTACATTAACGTACGCACAATATTGTTCAATGGTTTTCACTTCCTCATCAATGACAGATCAAGGGAACAATGCTAGCTTCAGCCAGAATATCGGATTGGAATGGAACAGACCGCAGTTACTGGATACTCTTCAATGGTGTTAAAAATCTTACAGTGAAAGGAGGTGGAATCATCAACGGCAACGGGCAAGTGTGGTGGAAGATATCGTGCAAAGTCGACTCTTCACATGTAAGAATAGCTTAGGCCGCGTGGTTTGCCATTAGTCTTAAAACCATCGACAAGATTGATTGGCCTTACGGTTAACGGTCTTACTTTCCGATTTCAGGAATGCAAGGTTGCGCCGACGGTACGTTGTTTCCACTCCTTCGTGTTCGGCGTCTTCTCCTCTCAGAGAGGAGAAACTTAACTGAGTTGACAAATTTAACCTTCAGGATTGACCTTTTCCCTTCGACTCGTTTTAGGCGTTGACTTTCCATTCATGCAATAACTTGAGGGTAAAAAATTTGAGGTTCAAGGATAGCCAGCAGATGCACGTCAGCTTCTCGCAATGCGCCAATGTTGACGTCTCAAGTGTTACAATATCGGCACCAGGAACCAGTCCCAATACTGATGGAGTTCACGTCTCTGGCAGTATTAACGTGATGATTAGTAACTCCATCATCCGAACAGGTTAGAGAAGAGAAACTAGACTATTGATGATGTTCAAATATCGCCCTCAGCGTTGTACCTAGTTTCTGTTGGAAGATCAAGCTTTGTTTTGGTTCTGGGAGAAGATGGTCAAATTTGATGCGTTCTAATCAAATTTTTGCGCTACATCCTAAATTTTTTCTCTTTTATTATTGAATTGTTTGAATTAGGTGACGACTGCCTCTCCATTGTCGGTGGCTCTCGAGCAGTCACGGCTACCAATATTGTCTGTGGACCAGGTCATGGAATCAGGTTTGTTTATCCATCAGCTGCTTCCATAGCTCTCTTTCTCGCTCTCTCCCGATCGCTCCGTTCGCTTTCTCGCTATATCTATATCCTGTTCCTCCTTCAGTCATTGAAATTTTTCTACATCGGCGACAGCATTGGAAGTCTAGGAGCCAATGGGGCGGAAGAGACTGTCTCTGATATATTGGTAGATACAGCAAGGCTGGAAGGAACCACCAACGGAGTCCGCATCAAAACCTGGCAGGTAATAATATCTCCTGCAATGGCACCCATCGTTGCATCCATTGAAACCCTGACAAATTTGTTTCTCCAGGGAGGAAAAGGATATGCTAGAAATATTACCTTTAAGAACATTGTCATGGACAGCGTGAAGAATCCTATAATCATCGACCAGAACTACTGCGACTCCACCAAGCCCTGCAGCGAAAAGGTACAAGATACAGAGTAAAGGCGCATCTTCTCCCTTCCTTTTCCATCCATCCAAAAAAATTTGCTACTATTTTTGTTTTTGATATTCTTGTTTCCATTTTTGTAGAAATCAGCCGTAGCTATTAGCGGAGTGACCTACAAGAATGTTAGAGGGACGAGCGCCACCGACGTGGCTGTTGATTTCGATTGCAGCCGCACCGTCCCTTGCCGTGGGATAGTTCTGCAGGACATAAATCTCGTGACGGCGAATGGAGTGTCCTCGAAAAGCGTCTGCCACAATATCAACTTGTCGAAGAACGGCAACTTCGTCCCATAGATGCGCGTCTGAAGATGATAAATAATAAATTCATCTAAACAAACGTGTGGTAGTGTCGATGGCTAATCTTTAGGGTGTAAAAGTTGAAACTTTTCCCTTGTGAATGAATCCAATAATATAATTGGAAATCACACAAGAATCTGTAGGCGTGCATTCAGGACAAAAAATTGATCTCAACTGTATTGACTGAGCAAAAAGAAAAGCATTGCCGTTTATTTCTCAAATGTTAGTGAATCGTACCTGGAATATGATCTTAATGGGCTTGGACTGGCCTGTCAGCGCAGCGGAAAATTGAGAGTATAAATACAATAGGTCTTCTAATATATAAATAATAATGGAAATGTAGAATGGGCTATAATAAAGCAGGACTTTGATTACTGTGGTCTAAAGAGGATAAACACACCTCACGACCAGTAAATCAACAGAGAAGAGAGTGATGACAATATCTGAGGAATAGAATACAGCAGAGACAGAGTTAACCCCATAATATTTAGTCTTCTCGAAAGCATCTGCTCCAGCCGACGACCAGGGCCAGTTGTAAGCCTATCTAGCCGGGCGCGTCGATCGTCAGCCCAAGCCCGGAGAACTGGCCATCGCCGACGGAGATAATTCCGCCGCGACGGTGGAAATGCGTCCGCACAGAGGGCAAAACAAGCAATCTTCGGATGGTCGTCCCTCCCGCGCGTCCCCAAATTCCGCAGCTGCTACGGCCGCTAATTGACACTACGCCGCCACTGGAGCCTGCATACTCCAACCAGGCCGGGAGTGCGTAGATCCGCCCGCGGCGTTCTCCTCCCTACCGCGGGGGTCGCCACGTGCCGGCGGAGCGAAGGGCATTAAAAACGTTCTAAATCTTTCACATTTGACGGAAGCCGCGAGACAGAGAGATGAGCTGACGGATATCCGAGAGAAAGAAAGTTGACCGAGCACAGCGGGGGAGAGTCCCGTTCAGTTAGATATGCTGACCAGACGGACGGTTGTAGCACCCGGTATTAATCGCCCGGTAATCTTCAGGTGGGTTCGTCGCACGGCGCTTCACACGAACGAAGACGCCGAATTCGGGACGCGAAGACGCATGCACGGGGGCAAAAAGAGAGGAAGAGGGACGGGGCGCCGGCGCCGGCGGCGAGGCGACCCTTCCGTCTGTCCCACTACCATCTCTCCGTCCATATCCCACGGACATGCCGGAAAACCGTAAAAGTTGACATGGAAGTTTCTTTCCTCGGACGCCCAAGCTGCGTCTCTCTCTTCGTCGGTCTATATAACCCGCGCGGAGCTATCTGCCATCTACCACAGCAAAATCCAATATTCAGCCCTCCTTCTGAAAGCCAACCTCTTTCTCTCTCGACGTCTCCTTATCCCTCTCTCGAACTAGATCACCTCCACACACGCACACCTCTCTTGAGCATAGGCGGCGCAGATGGGCGCGCAAAAGCTTCTCCTCCTCCTCGCCCTCGTGCTTCTCCTTCGTCCGGGCGACTCTCAGCACGAACAGACGTTCTCCGGCGGCCCCTCATTCCGCACCGGTCTGGACATCACCGACTCCTCCGCGGTGAGAAAACTGTCTCCGGGGACGCCCAACGAACGGAGGCGGTCTACTCTGGGAAGCGCAAGCACGGTGAGGAACGTGAAGGACTTCGGAGCACGAGGCGACGGATCGTCGGACGACACCAAGGTAGTAGACCGGTCAGCAATCTCTTTCGTCTCAGATGAGAATCTCCTTCTAAACCCCCGCGGACCCGCCCGTCGATTATCTCGTCTGCAGGCGTTCGCCGCTGCCTGGAAAGCGGCTTGCTCTTCCTCAGCTCCCGTCACTGTGTTGGTCCCCGAGGGGAAGGCATACCGGCTCAAGCCCATCACCTTCTCCGGTCCCTGCAAGTCTCCAATCACCGTAGCGGTGAGACACGACAACCCACCCCCCAGCTCCCCTCGCACCGAAATCTTATTGCGTCGCGCCTCCTTAGACTCCCTCTGTCTTTCAACTGTCGCCCACAGATCAAGGGAACGATTCTCGCCTCCGGAAGGATGTCCGACTGGGACGGAGCGGACCGCAGGCTCTGGATGCTGTTCGACAAGGTCGACGGCCTCAGAGTGGAGGGCGGCGGAACCATCGACGGCAACGGGCAGGTGTGGTGGAAGGTCTCCTGCAAGGTCGACTCCGCACAGGTAGCAACCCCTCTTACTTTCTCCGCTTGCGCACTCCGTGGGACTGCCAGCGGAATTCCTTCCGTCCTCGGCTTTGCTCCTCTCGACCCGCTGACTGACTCGCCTTCTGATCTTTCCTCGGTGCGACGTTAAAAAGCCGTGCAAGGGTGCACCCACGGTACTTTCTGGACCAGACTCAACTCGTTCAGTTCGTGGATTCCGATGTTTCCGCGAGCTGACTTCTCTGGTTGACTCCTTGCAGGCGTTGACGTTCCAATCCTGCCGCGGCTTGACCGTAACCGATCTCAAGTTCAAGAACAGCCAGCAGATGCACGTCACCTTCTCGAAGTGCGCCAACGTCCGGATCTCCCGACTGACCATCTCCGCCCCGGGGAACAGTCCCAACACGGACGGAATCCACGTCTCCGGAAGCACCGACGTTAAGATCAGCGACTCCGTCATCAGGACAGGTCCACCCTCCGCCTCCGCTTCCTTGGCCTCCCCCATCCGCGAAGCCGGAAGAATGCAGGCCGTGACTTCGCTTTAAATTCCTCCCTATAGGCGACGACTGCATCTCCATCGTCAGCGGCTCACGCTCCATTACGGCCACCAACATCGTCTGCGGACCGGGCCACGGAATCAGGTACCACATCTACCGGCTATGTGCTGCGATCTGCTTCTGGCCTCCTCTTCCTCTCACCCCCGTGCTCTCTCACTATCTTCTCCCCTCTCCCCCGTTGACGCATCACATCGTCGCTGGCAGTATCGGGAGCCTTGGAGCCAACGGTGCGGAACACACCGTTTCCGACGTCTTGGTCGACACGGCGCGTCTGGAAGGAACCACCAACGGAGTCCGGATCACGACCTGGCTTGTAATGCCATCTGGCTGACTACCCAGACCGAATTCTCTCGCGCTCCGTGGACTGACACTGCGACGACGGCGTCCTTCGGTCCTCTCCCTTCAGGGTGGAAAAGGGTACGCCAGAAACATCATCTTCAGGAACATCGTGATGGACAACGTGAAGAACCCAATAATCATCGACCAGAACTATTGCGACTCCTCCAAGTCCTGCGGCGAACAGGTGGAGCATGCCAGCACCGCCCTTTGCGTCTCTCCTGCTTCCCTCTCTCTCTCTCTCTCTCTCTTTCTCTGACTCTCGCTTTCTAGCTCAGTTCCTCTCGCTGATCTTCAGTTCGCCCTTTGCCGCACAGAAATCCGCCGTCGCCGTGAGCGGAGTGACCTTCCAGAACGTCAGGGGGACGAGCGCCACCGCGGTGGCCATGGACTTCGACTGCAGCCGCACCGTCCCCTGTCGGGGGATAACGCTGCAGGACGTCCACCTCGTCACCGCGAGCGGAGCACCTGCCAAGACCTTCTGCCGCAACGTCAGCTTGTCAAAATACGGCACCGTCGTACCGTCGACGTGCTCCTCCTGAAGACGCCTGCTTCCGTCCCGGAGGATGGAAGAAACAAATTCATTCATTATACCTCGTACACGGAGACGACAATTCATTCACTATACCTCGAACACGCAGATGACAATTCGTTCATTTCGTTATAGCCCCGACCTCGGTGTCCGATTGTAACATCGTGTAAATTTGTAACCGCTGTAGCTTCTCAACGTCGTGTAAATCAGACTCCCTAGTTTAATTGCACAGAAGCCTCATGCTTGTCACAAGAGCAACCCGCAGCTACTGTTCCGAACAAGTCAATAGAAGAATGCCTCTGCGTACTAGCGACCGGTGGAGACAGGCGAGAGAGAGAGAGAGAGAGAGAGGCGTTAGTGTGCGGAATGCGAGTGCTCGTCTCCGAGGATCGATTCGTCTACGATCCGGTCCCCGTACATCCGGTACTGGGCTCGTTTTGGACTAGAGCACTAAACCCTTTCCGACGTCACGGTTTACTCGCCAATAGATGCGTGGCGTCGTTCAAAAACGGCTCGGGTCTCGATCGTTTTCCTCGTCGTGGAACGGAAATTGGGTGTCGTATCGCGTTTCACGTGGCATGTTCTGTAAACACCGAGATCTTTTCCGCCATGTCACAGAATATAACGGTCGACACGGATAACGCAGTCCATCAGATACAACGCGGAATATCGAGCGTTTCATTACACGAAGAAGACGGCCTTATATCGTAAAATGCACCTTGTCAGATACCAATGCCAGGTGATGCGCGTTCGGTGTTCCTGTTCATTACCAGACCGTTGGAGGATCATGACCTTAGCGATCGGAGTGGGCAACGAGGTCCAGAGAGCTTGCGCCTCCCGAATACACAATACAGGGGAGTTTGCTATTTTTCTTACACTACGGCCGACGGTTGTTGTTTCGAGGCGCGCGCATTCGAATGCCGTTCCACCCATCACAGCTTTATCGGATAAAAAAGCTCAGAAATACGCCGCACTTGGGGCTCTTAATACCCGCGCGTACTGTGAAGCCGGTTCCGTCTCGATTGGCCATATCCCCGGGCTCTTAGAACGATCGTACCTCAAAAGAAGAAGCTTTCACCCGCACACAAAGGATTACGGTGCCAGAAGAGGAAGAGTCTTGTGAACACCGCAGAGACAGCTTCTCGGGTCGGAATGGAAAATCGCCCGCCAGCGTTCACCCGGTGTTGAATGCGCGACTGTTGCCACCGTCGTCCGCTGCGCAAGATCTCGAACGTCTCTCTTAGAACGAGGAAAAGAAGATGAAGAGGATCCTTCGGTTAACAATAACGCACATCCAACACCGTACAAGGATATCTGGCGTTCCGCGCTACGGTTCACAACGCACAGACAGGGGAGTCCCGTTTGTCCACGTCTATCAGACAGTTTATTTAACTCCACGTGGAAAACTAGAATCAGAGGGCTCAGCAG